CCATCCTATGTGTATATGCCCTTGATTTTTATTTTATTTTTTTAGAAAAACAATATATACATAATATAAATAATAAAAAAGTAATACATGATACAAAATATTAAAGTTATGTTAAAATATCCTGGTTTTTCTTAGCTTTATAATGGTGGTGGATGATGCCTGAGATTTTGACGCTTCAAAAAGCACGTACATCCTTCATAAAAGTAATCCAAACATCTGAAGTGTGTTAACCTGCTAGCCAGCAATCAATTTTGGGGATTTACACCTACCTAACTTTAATAAATGTCTTCTGAAGTGAAGTAGTTTTTTAAGACAAATATTCCTATTTTATTTCTAGAAACTATTTTTAAATGTCTTCCGATATCTGCCAAATGTTCAAACATAAACATTCAGACATGCATATATTATATATCATTAAAAAAAGAAAATTACATTATTTCATAATGCTTTTATTATTCTATTGAGGTCATATACATCATTTTTATAATGGATAAATGCACTTTTTGAACCTTCAAATACTCGGGTACCATTCACTGCCATTACTAATCTGGGAAGAGACAAGAATTTTTAAACTTACTCTTATTCTGCAGAAATGTGTTGAAGAAATGCATAAATACTTAGGACATGTCAGGAGTGAGTAAATTATGATGTGATTATTCTTTTTGGTTGAACTATACCTTTAAGACTGATTCCTCTATAGTCTAATTAAAGAGTGAATGGATCAAAAACATTTATCAAAATTGTTCTAAGACAAGAATAGTTACGTTAAATAGTTTTGAAGTGGTAATAGTGGTGCACTTGATGCACTTTAAAATGTTGGTTATGTACATACACTTCAAATTATTTTCTTATTTTCTTGCTTTTGATTACTTTAATTGGCCTCATCCTGTGCGTAAGTTGCTTTGGATAAAAGGATTGGATGAATGTAAGAAGCTAATAACATGACAATTATTTTGGAATTAAATTTTTGGGTCACACTTTACAATAAGGCTCATTAGTTAATGCTAATTAATGCATTTACTAACATGAACAAACAATGAACAATACATTTACTACTGTATTAGCTCATGCTAGTTAATGTTAGTTCATGAAAATACAGTTGTTCATTGTTAGTTCATGTTAACTCATGGTGCATTAACTAATGTTAACAAGCATGGACTTGGATGTTAATAATGCGTTAGTAAATGTTCAATTATGATTAATAAATGCTGTACATGTGTTGTTCATTATCAGTTTATGTTAGTAAATGCATTAACTAATGAATCTTATTGTAAAGTGTTACCAATTTTTTAATTAGATTTTGTTCTTTGAATATTGGACATTTAAGACAACACATTTTTAAGGCAGATATTTATAGACGTTTATGTCCAAACTAGAGATTTTGTTGTTGTTGTTCTGAAATTTTAGACAGCAGATATCCAGTTTGTACAAATATGGTTTCAAGTTTTCAACATAAAGGAGAAATTTGATGCATCAAACTCAATATTCTAAAATTCACAATGCAGTAATTTGTATTGCGTAGAAAGTAGGTCAGAGGTCATCCACAGGAAACACAGGGATACGGTTAACAATGTGTTTTGTATTGGTTTTTCAAAATCCTTATTTTTAATTATTTCTAAAAATATAAAGTTTAAGTCAAAATATTAACCCTCCTAAGAAATTGCAATCTTTTAAAATATTTCCCAAGTGCTGCTTAAGATTTTTGAACACTTTTTTTTTTTAAGCATACAGTAATAGTTTTAATAACTTTGACGACAGTACATAATATTTTACTAGTCATTTTGCAAAATACTAGTATTCAGCTTAAAGTACAATAAAAAAACAAAATAACAATTAATAACAATTAATAACAAAAAAAGATGAATTATGTGAACTGGACAATTTAGGATAACTAGTCAAGTCATTGGATAACAGTGCCCAGCAGACACACAACATCATAGGACATTAGCATTAGGTTAGATTGAGGTTGTGACGACTGGTGACCAAAATTCAATGTCTAGTCAGCATGTAAGGACAACGTTACTTTGACATCCAATAACGACATCAAATTACGTTGAAATATTTGGTTGATTTTAGGTTGAGTTGGAAAGTGACCAAAACCCAACATCTGATAGATGTCATAGAGAAGATGTCCACACAACTTCAAGGTGTAACATGATTAGACGTTGATATTTGATTGATCTCGGGTTGATTTTAGGTTGGACATTAGACATTAATGTCGGCCTGACGTCAGGTTCTGATGTCAACCTGATTTTCATTTCCAATCAAAACTCAAAGTCCCCACGACGTTGGGGTATGTTGGGGTACAACGTCAATATGATGTCAAGTTGACATCCTGTGCCTGCAGGGTGGTTTGATTTGAAGCCAATCAGGGGGGTAATAAAGTTGACTTTATTAATGATAATAATAATAATAATAATAATAATAATAATAATAAAATTATTATTGTTATTACTATTATTATTATTTTAATTATTATTACTATTACAGATTTTTTAAATGCTTTTATTACAGCTAAACTAAGTGAAGTTTCATAAACTAATTTCAAGAGGAGCACGTGATATGATTAAGCACGACTGGCCGCTCATCTGTAATTAGTAATAATCCAATCAAAGTGATCCTAGTTTACAATAAATGGATCATTTTCTCCCTCTATCTACTCTCTCGCTCTATCATCGTGTTAGAAGAATCCCCCCTTCCACCCCATCTCCTCCTTTTCCTCCCATTTCTAAAGGGGGGGGGGCTCTCGAGAACTACCTGATCTCGCATCTCCTGATATGCTCTATTGACCGGGCGGGAGCCCTGGGCTCAAATATCTCCGAGCTCAGGGTTCTCTCCCTGGGACAGCATGCCAAACCTGCTTTAAATGCTAAGCATATCTAAGTGGGAACTCTTGAATACTAATATGACTTTCTCCAAAAGAAAAAAATATTAAAGGAAATACTGTCAAAATGTCCTCTCTGGTAAACACCACATGGGAAGTATTTTGAAAAGGAATACAAACTTCACAGCACAGCTAATAATTTTGACTTCAACTTTAAGTGCATTCTGCTGAAGAACACTGAATAAAAGTCAGATATGCTATCAATATTTCTACTACATCAGTGCTTCCCAATCATGTTCCTGGAGGCACACCAACAGTACATATTTTGGATGTATTACCCCATTAACTTCAGGCTTTAGAGTCTCTTATTGTGTCCTGATGAGTTGATTTAGTCGTGTTTAATTAGTAAGAGGTTAAATATGTGTACTGTTGGTGTGTCTTCAGGAACAGGCTTGGGAAACATGGTTCTACATCTCTAACAGTGTACCTGTGTCCTGTTGAAGGCCACGCGTGCGAACACGGCCTGTGAGATTCCTGCCCTCTTCAGCTCGTCTCTCACCCACTGGTAGATGTCGGCGGACACCTCTGCGTTGGAGGACACCTGCGCCTCCAGCGGTTTGTTGAGCGCACGGTTGACCGGCGGGTGGTTCAGGTACTGCTGGCTCAGAGACTGCTGAGCCAGGAGACGGTTGACTGCGTACTGCTGGTTGAGGATCTGGGCCATGACAATCTGCTGGTTCACCAGTTGAGGGCTGATGGGGGTGGACACCAGGCCCGGGTGCAGGCCGGGCAGCTGCGCTCGGCCAGGGGCTTGACTGGTGTGGGATACGGGCAGGGGGGACGGGGCCTGCTCCGCAGTGCTGCCCGGGATGGGCTGCTGGCTGAAGCTGAGGTGATTGGTTCCCGGTGGAGAAAGATCTGACAGACCGTCCATCTCAGCTACAGAGGGACACAAAGATGATGGAGAACGTCAATCAAAAGAGTTCAGATGGGTTTAAATGACCATCACAATTACAGAATCAGATTCTATATTGCCTTTTTATTGTAATACTAGTATTAAGGTACACTTTTGAACCATACAGGCGGACATTAGTGTCTTTAGGGCACACTTTTGTACAGTTAAGGTTCACTTGTGTACCTTGTAGGGCAATGTGAGGTTCACATTTGTACTATTTAGGTATTAATATGCACACTACCTGACAAATGGCTTGTCGCCTATCCAAGTTTTAGGAGCAACGAATAATAACATGACTTCTAGTTGATCGTTTGGTATCAGAAGTGGCTTATGTAAAAGGCAAAGACCTCTAGATTAAGCTTATTTTACTAAAATAAAAGATGATCATGCCTTGATTTTGAATGATTTCATTAGGACAGTAGACAGCTTAGACAAAAGTCTTGTCAAGTAACAGAAATAATGTACAGTATAGAGTTTAAAGTCATGGCGCATCATGCTCTATCTTACAACAAACATGCTCAATAATGTTCATGTCTGGTGACTGGGTTGGCCAATACTGGAGTACCTCGACCTTCTTTGCTTTCAAGAACTTTGATGTGGGGGCTGAAGTATGAGAAGGACACGCCCATACTGTACCCCAAACCATAATTTTTCCTTCACCAAACTTGACTGATTTCACTGAGAATTTTGGCTCCATGCGGGTTCCAGTAGGTATTCTGCAGTATTTGTGGTGATTGGGATGCAGTTCAACAGATAATTTATCATCAAAAATTTTCCTTCTACCACTTTTCTAAATGATCAACTAGACTATTATTTGTTGCTCTTACAACTGAGATCCACGACGAGACTTTTGTCAGGTACTATACCTTTAGGGACCTTGTAGGAACCAAAATTTACCTTTTGAAAAGCTATCGCCCCAGTAACAGATTTTGTACCTTTATTTCTAGGAGTGCATGAAGGAAACAATCCAACAAATATACTTCTAAAAATTTGTTTGACAATAATAAATGGAAAAATCTTAGTGTCCTTATAAATGCATCAAATGCAAAAAAAACTATTCCATTTTTTTTTAATTAGCAAGCTTTTGTTGACAAATTTTAAAATGTCCTCGTTCTAGAATCTACCTTCACTGTAAAAATACATCTAATGTTCTGAACACACTCATTTATTTAAAACTTTAATATCACTATAAACATGAACAAATTCAATTAGTGGCATGTAGAGCAGGCGTTTCTCTATTTAGTTAACATTGTTTCAGGTAATTATTGATGTAAACAGTCATTAATAGAGAACACGGCGAGTGCTTTTCTCTTTTTCTCATCAATGTGGTGTTGATTGAATCATTATAATAACCACAAAACAGAAAGCAGCCGGTTTATTAGGTCTAATGTGAGAAAAGGTATTTTAAAACAAATATATATTCACAAACTAACAATGTTTCCATAAATACCTTATAAAAGGAGTATTCAATTTATTATTTTCAAAAACAAACAAATTACACTGCATTATGTATTAATGTAGAAAATCTGTATTTTTTAAGAACAAATATTTAATTAGACAATTGTGTATAAAATAAAAAATATATATATATATATATATATATATA